AATCAAATTGTATATTAGGGTGATCGTTAAAAATTAATTTTTTTGCGACGCCCCCTAAAAAGCTTCGTTTTGATGAAAAAACACTAGGAAATTTTTAGTAGACTGGGAAAAATTTTGAATTTAAATTTTTGTCTATTGTTATTTAGATTAACTATTGTTTTTTATTGATTTGGGTTCGATAATTGAAGCGTGGTAATTCAAAAACGTCTAAGTGCCGCTGCCGTACAAAGCACAAATGTATTAAACAATATTAAGTAATGCATTAGTTACCACCTTTTTGTTTAGCACTGCAGTGGCACTTAGACGCTTTTTAATTACCACGCTTGAATTGTTTATATTTCGAATAAAATTTTATTTTTCATAAAAAATTCCCAAAAAGATTGTCTTGAGGCACGTGTTGTTTTTAATAAAAAAAGTTCCTAGTGTGTTTTCATCAAAACGAAGCTTTTTAGGGGGCGTCGCAAAAAATTTAATTTTTAATGAACACCCTATTGTATATGCTATTAAAATTTTAAACCCATATCGTTTGCGTTTCTCCAGAAACACCCTGTATAGCATTATATTAAATATAAAAAAATTCAAAATAACTAATTACAAAAAATCGAAAAACAACTGAATAAAAAATAACGATATATCTAAATGACCGATTGCAACATAAAAAATAAAGACTTTATTCTAATTTATTTATTGGGTAAATATTACTTTCCTCAGTTTGGAATTAAAATTGAAGCTTGCTTATCGAGTACAAAATAAATTGAAGCTTGGTTGTGGAGCAAAAAATAAAATTAAAGTAGGATATAATTTCTAACTTGCTGACACTGTCTATAATTATTATTTAGTTTATTCATTTTAATAAATTAATGTTTATAGTACACTTATAAATTGAAACGCAATCAGTCATTGGCAACTGTAAAATTATCTTTCATGCTTCCAATGGTAGGTTACCATAGAGAAAAGTCTATGATGCCTACTATGACCAAAATTAGTAAACTTGAAATTTTTTTAAATTTTTGCTCCATCTATGGCGATTTTTTAAATAAATATGTAAGGATTGTATGTTATATATAATATATTATATGTAATATATAATACATTGTCTTATAAAACTAGATAAAAGAAAATATAATTTGTAAAACACGTTAGTATTATGCTCTTTGAAGGCCTAACTTAAAAATGGTGTATCTCGTAGAAACATAATTTACATGTAGAAGTTTATATGTATATCAAATAATAGTTAATTAACAGTACTTTAACGTGATATACTCAAAATTATAAAAACAACGTTGCTTCTTCGATTATTTTAAATTAAATTGTCCCCAGCTCCCCCTGTATGTTAAAATTTAAAAAAATAATACGTAGATTAATTGCCACTAACAAGGTCTACATTTTATCTTAATTTCAAATCGATACGTTTTTAAATAAAAATGTTATTTCAAAATATCTAGATTTTTCTATCTTTAACACAGTATACTCTATAGAGTGACTCAAGGCCTGAAAAACACAGCGGTCAAAGGATGAAATATTTTTTTCGAAAAAAAATGTACCATTTAGATGTAGAAACAAGGTTAAAAAAAAAAAAAAATTTGTTCGATTTTTAGGCTGGCAGACGTTTAAAAAAATATTAACAAAATTGTTTACAATCAAACTGACATTGCCATTGGGTTTATTTTAAGTTTAGATGGTTTCCTTTGACAAAAAAACTGGTTTTTAGAATTATACAATTTTTCAAATAAATAAAAAAAACGTGTGTGTATTTTTATAGTCAAGCGTAGATAAAATATGTTTTCTACTCCCACCTTTAAAACGCCCATTATCGTACATTTTTCAATCACACTAAGTGACCTTTTAAATACACATTGATAAGTTGTGGTTTCTGGCGTTTAAGTCACGGGCTGAAGTTAGTTTTAAGTTGACAGTCGTCAAATGTCATACAGTCGTTAAAATTAAGTACCCTTTTTGTAAAATAATACTAAATGTGAAAATTAGTTTATTATCTCAATACAAAAATACAAAAGCATTAAATAGTTTCTTAACGCCAATATTTGAAAATTTTATATGAACATTTTACTGACGGCAGTAAACTAAATATAACTTAAATTCGGGCTCGGACTCTACCGTGAAGTGCTCATAAAACATTTTCTTCACTTTCACTGGGAAAAACTGTTGTTAATCCATTTTTGAGGCATACAATTAAATTTATAACACATACAAATTTTACATTTGACGGTAACACAGATTCCCCTATTGTTTTATAAATGTCGCTCTATACAAATATTTAATTTAAATCATTTATAGATAATAATAAGTATTTGTCGTAGAAAAATTATAGTACGAAACTCTTTTATAAACTTCATTAATTTATGCATTAAATTAAATTCGTGTCTAAAATGGCGTTTATCAAACTGGATAAATAATAAAATATTAAGATACACGTGAGTTAACTAAATACTTGTGTGCTTACACAACTTGTGCTACGCACTCGCAGTGTGCTCACACTGGATGCTTTAAAGGATAAACCGGTGCAATGTGTGATGAATATATTTTGCAGATTTTTTGTTCACTTTGTGCTAGCCGTTGCTTAAATATTAATAATTTGTATTATTTATTTGCTTCTGCTTTTAAAACATTTATACAAATTCCCTTTTATAAAAGATAATTATAATACAATTATGTGGGTAGGAAGAAAAATCAAAAAAGTATTTTTTTGCAAAACGTATTTACATTAATTCAGGAAATATAATTATGGTTTACGGTTAATTAATAATTTGACACAGAATTTCAAACATCATAATTTGGTCGTTCCTGATATAAGATATGAGCTGAAAATTGTTTGCTATAATTTATATGTACGTGGTCTAGGACGACGAAACATAAATAACCCTCTGGTAGCAAGTTTGTTAATTTTTTCTTATTTTCTAAAAATAAACAATATATTTATTTTTTGCGATCTAAATTAAAACTAAAAATAGATTTATTGTATTATTTTTAGCGTTAAACTAACAGATGCATAAACCTCAATTATTTATACAGGGTGTTATGTAATTAATGTTATATATTAAAATACTGAATACCTTTTGACATAAGGAGTAAAGGAAAATTATTAAAAAAAAATATTTTTTCAAAGATAAAGAAAAAATATGCATTAGAAGTTTTTTATATTTTTTGTGATACGCCACTGGTTGCACACTTGGTTTATCTCTGCACACTTGTGTTCTGTGAGTACATAGATACCAACCAAGAAAGTAGCTGCGCGTTGCCAGATGTAAAAAATTGTTACAAAAAATAAATAAAAACTCAATAAATACAAAAGTTTTATGCCCTTAAAGCTCTAATACCCTTCTGTATTTATTTACTCATCCAGCTATTAGCTTAAGCAATGATTAGAAAATTTAGTACCCATTTTAAAAAATCCTTAACCACAAAATTAATTTTTTGATCGGTTTTTTTTCTTTCTGTTTACTCAGATGAAATTGGGACCAGTTCACAGGTTAAACTTTAAACATTTAATTTGTGTAAATAAATCCAAAAGCACTTATTTAGTTAAGATATTTACAATTTGAGCACATAACCTAAAACTTGAAAGAAATGCACTAGATTCTGTCATAAAAGTTGGCAGATTTTGTTTGAATTTACCTTCAGTACAAAACTGACATAACCAACAATTAATAATTAATAAACGCCAAATTAACAATTTGCATTGTTAATTTTGTCATTTTTGTAATTAAGCTAAATTTAAACAATATTTGTCAACTTTTTTGAGAGAATTTGAAAACGCTGTTCTTACCATAAACATAACATAATAAATTAAATTAGGCAACCAGATTAGCCCAACGTTCCTAGTCCTAGGATAAGGGTTATTATAAATTATTTTTAGTCTTTGGAATTTGGAAAAAAAAATTTCAGGTGATTCTTTATGGACCCTAAGGAACAACCCATTTTAATATATAACATTAATTACATAACACCCTGTATACAAATGTCAAAATGGGACTTGTGGGTGTGGAGCATAGAACTTGTAACATATTTACAACTTTTGGTGTTTTATAGTTTTCAATAAAATATTTTATAAATATTTTTTTTAAATAATTTAATAATGAAATGTGTTAGTTAAGTTAAGTTAAGAGCTTCTTTACTTACGAGTGTTATCGAGTTTAATTAAGCACGAGCGAATCTTGCGAGCGAGTGTTTAATAAAAACGAGTGTCTAGAGAAGTTTATAAACGAGTTGCATACTATACTTTATCTACGACGAACACAAAACAAAATTTAAAGCCAATTTTATTTGTTAAAATTTTGACATCTGCCAACTGTCACCCGAATTTAACCTCACTTTTTCCCAATTTATAATAAAGCTAACTTCAGCCCGTGACGTAAAATGTCGAAAAGCCACTGTTGTTAACTTCAGCCCGTCAATAAAACGCCATAAAGTCACAGCTCGTCAATGTAGGAGTAGATAAAGAATATTATTTTTCTACTCCTATTACAGAATTTGACCGTTCTAATATCACTTTTATCTATGGAATGACATATATTCCGTAAAGTGTTACAGAATGAAATATTCTATCATCTGATGACAGAATAAACACTCGTGGCGACATCTCTGTTTTTAATATCTAACAAATTTTAGACCGATCCAACCTCACTTTCTTTCAATTAAATTATTTTTCTATAGTATTTTTTGGAAACGTAGAAAAAGTATAGTCTAAAACACGTTTGGAATTGCATATTCCGCTCTCGTGAAACCGTCAAACTCGCCTTTTTTTCGACCAACACTAGGACCTAGTGCCATTAAAAACATTATTCAACTAACTTCCTAAACCTCAAAAAAACTTTTAGAGCACCAGGTTTTAGGTTGTAATGGGTTGCATTTGGGGCTCAACTTTTAAGAACCTCTATTATACTACTACTTATTATACTAGGCACCCACCAAATTTTATAGTCAAATTTCGAAACAGGCATATTGCTAACGCTTAAAACAAATAATCCAGAGAAAATTCTTACCCTACTTCTTTTTCTGAATTAGTACTTTTGATAAGAATCTTGGAATTATTTAATCCTGCATTGTTGATTATCATAGGTTCACCAAGTCTGTTATATAAATAAAAGTAAGTTTCAGTTTCGGTTGTTCTGTAAATGGTCAAAACAGTACTATTTAGAACCTCTATCTTGGTTTTGGCAGCTGGGGAAATTTTCTTTCTGTTTTTAATTAAACTCTTGTAAATATTTAAATGGCTGTCCACCGTCGTATTTTGCAATTCAACGTTCGTGTTTATATAATTTTTGCTCACAGGTAACCAAGTTTTGTTGCCTTTGTTAAATCCTGCATTTGTTGAGTTGTCCCATTGAAAAGGTGTCCTTTCAAAGTCTCTGCTCTTTTCCTTGAACGTTTTCTCATCAGTTGCTTGAGGATCTTGTCTTTGGTCAAAATCAACTTCTCCATCTTCCATACCAATTTCTTCGCCGTTATAGGTAACCATTACACCGGGCAAAATACCTTGAAGCAACATAATAGCGTCCACGTTCTCTACACCTAAACGAGTAGCTATTCTGTGATTGTCATGATTTCCAACCTAGAAAAACATTTGCAAAATTTAATGCATATAGATAGGCACCTATTAAAATGTTTAGTTAAATTTCTGAAACTACCGTTTTCATATTACGTATAAAAATATTACATTTTACAATAGACCCAGTTTAGGTTAACTTGCAATATTGTTTTAGAGTAAATTTGCATGAATATTAGCGCAAGCTGTTACTGTGCTGTACTGCAAAAAATAGAGCTAGCTTGATTTTGTTGTAGGTCGGCAAATTACTATAGAAAAAAGCGACCATTAAATTTGGTGTCAAAAATAGGACTTAAAAAATTTACATGACATGTTTGGTGTACATGAGGGTGTCCGTTATTTACCAACTTGTTTTTTTTGTTCGCAGCGCCTCCTAAATTTTTAGTTTATGACCTAAAAAAATTATTAAAAAAAAATATTCATATTAAACCGTGCCACAAAGACGATACATTTTCCATTTATATAACATGGGGTTTTGGCAAGTTTTACATTTATTTTTTTTGTTCCGAGCAGGTTACTATACAGCAATATGTGATACATATTTTTATAGGAAATTGAACGCTGTACAAAAAAGCTCTCCTATGATTTTTTGATAAATTCACTGGTTTAAAAGTTATTTAAGGTTAAAATTGAATTTTTTCGATTTTTTACTTTGACTACAAAATTATCAATATTTTTATGAAAATAAATAATTTACAATTATTGTTAATTTTTGAAAATATGTGATTTTATTGTATTATTGAGAAATATTAAAATTATTGACAAGAGATTCCTATAAATTATTTTTTTTATTGCATTTAAAGAATCTGGTAGTTTTAATCAAATTTAGTACAATTTTTTTTTTACATAATCTTTTTATTTCTGTGAATTTTACAAAATTTTATACGAGATTTTATAAAACATTATACAATAAAAAATTTTCCTTCAGCTGTAGCAAATGACGTGGAAATTCATATAACAATTTTTTTACGAAAAAACAAAATTTTTAGTTGCGCATGCGCACTAAAGTATGTCGCATTTCACAGATTTCGTGTCGTAGTTGAAGTAGGTCAATCAACCTTCGTCTGTGGCATCTTTTATGTAATATTATAGGTATTATGTATCAAGTTTTATAAACGCCATTTTAGTTATGAGTTTTATAAGGCACGAGCGAAGCTTATTAAAAACGAGGTTCTAGATAACTTTATAAAACGAGTTGCATAATAAATATAGGTAGGTACTTTATCTACGACGAATATAAAAAAAGACAATTATATTTGTTAAACATTTGACATCTGTCAAATGGCAACGGAATTAACCTCACTTTTCTCTAATATATAATAAATCTAATTTCAGCCCGTGACTAAAATGCCCAAAAGCCACTACTTATTGCCAACTTCAGCCCGTCACTAAGTCACAGCTCGTCAATGTAGAAGTAGATAATAGTATATTATGTATCGAGTTTGATAAACGCCATTTTATACACGAATTTAATTTAGGCACGAGCGAGCTTGCGAGCGAGTGCTTAAGTTAATGAGTATATAGAAAAGTTTATAAACGAGGTGCATACTATACTTTTTCTACGACAAATACTTATTATTATCTTAAAATGATTTAAATCAAAAATTTGTATAGAGCGCCATCTATGAAACAACAGAGGAAACTGTCAAATGTCACATTTTTACTTTTTAAAAAACACAATTATAAAGGTTATAAATCGAAATGTATCTTGAAAATTGACAGTTTTTCACAGTGAAAGTAAAGGAAATGTTTTATGAGGACTTTACAGTAGAGTCCGTGCCCGAATTTAAGTTATAGTTTACTGCCGGCGAAATTAAAAGGTCAGTACAATGTTCATATAAACTTTTTAAATATTGGCGTTGGGAAACTATTTAATATTTTTTTATTTTTGTATTGAGATAATAAAATAATTTTCACATTTATTATTATTTTACAAGAAAGGCACTTTATTTTAACGATTGTATGACATTTGACAACTGTCAACTAACTTAAAACTAACTTCAGCCCGTGACTAAAAACCTGTTGCTAACTTCAGCCCGTGACTCAAGCGCCGTAAAGCCACAAAAATACATTTAACTCATTTGAAAAGGATAATTGGTGTAGCGGAAATGTCTGCATCTTATACTCAAGACAACGTATGCGTATCTACGAATTTTATTTTGTCGTAAAAATAATTGTTAAAAGAATTTCTACGTCATTAGCTGTACTGAAGGAAAACTTTTTATTGTATAATATTTTATAAAATCGTATACAATTTTGTAGAATTTCACAGAAATAAAAAGATTATGTAAAAAAGTAATCGTACTAAAATTGAGTAAAACTAGTACCCAGATTCGTTTAATGCAATAAAAAAATTTAATTTATCGGAATCTCTTGTCAATAATTTTTACTTATCTCTTTTCAATAATTATTATTTTTTCAATAATACAATAAAATCACATGTTTTCAAAAATAAACAATTCATTTTCATAAAAATAATTATAATTTTGCAGTCAAAGTAAAAAATACTATAAGTTTACCTTTAACCTTAAATAACTTTTAAATCAGTGAATTTATGAAAAAATCATAGAAGAGCTTTTTTGTACAGCGTTCAATTTCATATAAAAATATGTGTCTCTTATTGCTGTATATTAACTTGCTCGGAAGATAAAAAATTAAATGTAAAACTTGCCGAAACCCCATGTTATTTAAATGGAAAATGTATCATCTTTGTTGCACGGTTTAATATGAATATTTTTTTTTATAATTTTTTTAATAATTTTGTTTAGGTCAAACTAAAAATTTAGGGGGTGATGCAAACCAAATAAACAAGTTGGTAAATAACGGACACCCTAATGAGCATTCGCTCATTTGGTCTAAACCCACCTTACGAAATAATCGTTTTGAGCCTGCGACACTTACACAGCATAAACACAAACAGCAGGCTCACTCAGGTAAATACGATCAGTACGCGCCGTTCAATTCGCGCACATAAACGAGTACGAGTACGCGCGCAGGGTTGTATTAAGGATTATCTAGTGTTTATTTAAGATTTATCTATTGTTTATTCAAGATTTATTTAGTAATTTTAAAAAAATAGTAATTTTGGAAAAGACACATATGCGGATATTTAATAAAAAAATCTTTATCCAAACACTCATGCGAAGTTTGTCAAAAATATGCCAATGAGTATAATAAATTGGACGAAAGTGTTTTTTATAGTTATGAAAGGGCATTTACAAGTTCAGAAAATAATTTATTTGGTAGTTTGTATATGCCTCATAAAATTTTCGTCCAATTCATTATTAATATGGAAATAATTTTTCGAACGCATTTTGAAGAGTTGTCTTTACAGGAAAATGTGGGACAAAATTTGTACTACAAATACTGATCTATTTATTTGAATCTTTAAAATTTGAACATGTTTGTAGTAATTTTAATTTTATATACATATAGAGCCTGTTCAGAATAAAACCGAATATATATGGGGCGTGGCCTCGCCTCCCTCCAAGGCGCGTCACAGTTGCTTGTGTGATAAACGACATGACGAAAGGTCGAGCAGGTAAGGACTTAAAAAATTAAATGATAATAATGCAAAAAATCTCATTAGCGATGCAGTCTATTTGCTTAGCTACTGTGTCGCGCGTTGGAGGGAGGCGAGGCCACGCCCCATATATATACATATAGATATATTCGGTTTTAGTCTGAACAAGCTGTATAATTTATATGCTAGGTTAAGGGTATATTATACTTTAGTATATGCAAATAGAAATTTTAAGATACCTAACAATAATAGAAAATTAATAATATGGAGACATTTTTAAAAATATGTTTAATCTAATGTATAAATAAATGTATATAAATATGTATAAATAAAAAGTATAAATGTATGTTAATAACATTTATGAATATATGTAGGTATTTTTGTAATAATAAAATTGTATTTTTAAAATATTTTTTTATCACAACCCATATGTAGGTCCAATAATGCAATAATTAATACATATTTTACTTGCCGCAAATCAATTTTTATTGTGCTGCAAAATAATTGGACGGACCTGTTTATTTTCGGGCGTGGCTACGCGTAGAAGGGATATCGCAAGGTCACAGCAACTTACTGAAAAAGATCAAAGTGCCGACAGGAGAGTGAGCCTGCTGTTTGTGTTTATGCTGTGAGACTTATATGTAGATGTTTATGGTATACCTTTATGTGACTTCTGGTTATTACCAACATCAAAATTAGGATGAAAGAAAAAAATGTATAACGAAAATAAACAATGTTGTCTCTAATACAGTGTTTGAATAAAAAAAGGTGTACCTATTTCCATTAAATTGGTATCAGGGACAGATGGTGTATATTAGGCGAGACAACATAATTAAGTTAAACTCAGATATTTATTACCACGTTTTTGTTTGACAGAATAAATTCCCTAGATTTTAACCACAAATGTGTACTTACCACCCAGTTATATGTATAAATTTCGGGCAAGTTTTCAAACCAATTTTCAATAATGTTTTTAATATCTGTAGCAGATGAATTTTTGCTTAAAGATTGAATGAAATCAAAGTTAAATGTAAAATGAGCTCCTAGTCTTGAACCATCTTTTAAACCATAGTATAATAGGGTTTTATCAAAATCTGTATAGGCTTCTGTCATAATAACCCTAAAAAAAATAATTTAAAGTAAATTTTACCAAGGTATAAACAATAATTTTATATTTAAGCTAAATGCATATGAAGGGAAATGACTTAAGCGCCATTTAATATTATATTACACTACAAAGGAGGTGAGTAGATTTTACCAGTCGAGGACAGTTGCGAGGGCTGGCAATAGAGTCCGAGACTGCTCAAAAGTTACCTCCTGCGAGTTGTATAACGTTTTATTTGCTCCCACAGGTAGGTCTTATGTAATAAAAATACTTTTTTTGATCAATTTATTTTGACACTGACATTAATTTTTTGACATTAAAGGATGTCAGAAAGTCTGTTACGATTTTGTCGTTATTAAGACGTTGTTTACCCATGCGAGGTAAGTAGCTTAATTAACTCCCATCGTCAACTTACCTTCTATAAAACAATGTAACAATAGCATAGTTACCAATGTGGGAGCAGATAAAATATGTTAATAGAGGAGCTCTACAAGCAAAGTTAAACAAATTGTTAAAGAATAAAATGTGTAAAACGTCTTAATTAATAAACGACCGAAATATTATTTTCACGTGTTTTTCGTAAATATTATGATAATTCATCCGTACAATAAACATACCTAGTATCTTCTGTATGATTTTTGTTGTACTCATCAATCAATTCTCGGAACTGATAGATCATATCCAGGGTTTCGTTTAAATCAAGCGTTTTTGTATGTTGTAAAGAATTCCAATTGCTTGGGTCTACGCCCTTAGTTTTATCAGTTGCTGTTTCATTCTCAAAATTTACATCCTCAAACAAATATGGAACGGCATCAATCCTGAATCCTGCAACTCCTTGGTCCAACCAATATACCAGAATATCCTAGAAATATTATAACTTGGCTTTCAAATTTTAAATCCCCTAAATAAAAAGATTTTTGTAATATTTTTTAAAGAATATTAGGTTTTTATATTTAGGTTCCACATAATTTTACTGTAATAATCAAATGATTAAAACATTATCCATCTAGATAGATTTTGTAATATTTTATATAATAATTAAATAATTTTTAAAAAGAAATAAAAATAATCTGACACTTAATAATAATACTACAATAAAATCTAATACCTGTGAGACGGTTCTAGCTTCCCTTTCCCCCTAATTAAAACCCGATTAGTTGGACCACAGTAAATAATGAAATCGGTTAATCACTGACGCCCAACAACGAGAATAATAAGTTTATTATTCACTGGCGGTTATAATAATTATAATAATTTACGAAAAAACAATAGGGGTAGACAAAATGTTTTTTATTGAAAGGAATCGATTTTATGAATATAATTAAAAAACGAAAAATGCATCATACCTTCATATCTTTTACAACATCTGGGTTACGATAGTTAAGGTCGGGCTGTGCTTTAGCAAATTCATGATAATACCACATTTTTCTCGTCTCATTGTAGGTCCATGCAATTCCGCCAAAATTACTTAACTACAAACAAAACGTATAATATACAGGGTGTCCTAAAAATAGTGTGCCTACACATCACGGGATAGAGGTCATAAAATTATTGAGAATACTTTTTTAACGAGTAGAGTTTTTAAACTAAATAGTACATTATAGACCAGGTGAGATAAGCACATAGGTACTATCGCCGAGCATACACTTCACTGCCGAGGCAGTAGATTGTTTGCGAGACAGTCAATTTATAAGCCATTAACATGGTCATGTTGTGTTTATAGAGTTTAGACATGAATTTAAAAGAATCTATGTAAAATAACACTTGTGCAGAAGTTTTATTTCCCACAGAATTCTAATAGAATATTTCTAAAATTCGTTTCCAAACTCATGAAACAAAAGTAGTTCATTTTTTATGGAAATCTCATGAGAGAGCGTAAATTGTTTGTGAATGTGTCTGATGCCTCACAAAATTATTTATTAAATTTTAAAGACATTCTATGCAGTCTGATTTAAAATGTAAAGGAATTTTTCACAATAAAATTCCCAGAGGCTTTGATTATAACATATGTTAAAATATTTTTATAAGGGATACTCAAAAAAATAAATTTGTCCGATTAAGATTAATGGCGCAGCTAGAGCATTTTTTCCCGGTATAAATTAGAATCCATTACACGAATTTCATAAAATTTAGTTATACAAATGTATTTATGCATAAATACATTTTTATGACTTAATAAAAGTTGGACTCAATGTAACTAAAGTCATTTATTATCTACTATAATTTATCGACAAATTTAAAATTTTATTTAAAAAATCCAAATATTACAGGTCTTATAAATACCATTTTAAATATTTTTTTATTTTAATAAATCAAATAAAATCTGTAATATTTGGATTTTTTAAAAACAATTTTAAATTTGTCGATAAATTATAGTAGATAATAAATTGCACCACTTTAATTTGAATTATCTCAAATAGGGGGCCATGAGGCGGGTGAGGTAACAGGAAAAACTAACTTTTTTTCGCAAACTTCAATTTAAATTCTGTTTGCGCCAAACTTGTTTATTTAATGTCATTATAAACTATTATAAATTTGGTGTGGGTCCCATGTCTAATAACTGAGATTTTGGTATACATAAAATCCACCAGCTCAACTGTTTTTATTTTAGTTTTCCATTTAATTAACATGGGAAAAAATATTTTATGTTTGGAATTTTATACCTCTTTATCAAAGTAACTTAAGGCAATGATTATTGCAGTTTCTATAAAATGTAACGCTCTACAAAAAAGGTCAAAATAATTTCTTCTAGAGTTATTCGAGGTCAAAGTTTGATTAACATAAAATTTTCTGTTTTTTTTTTAATTTTATGGTACAATTAGGGAGGTGAAAGGGGGCAAAACAAGGCAGCGGGGGGGGGGGGGCAAAATGGGGTACCCAATAAATTTCGTAAAAATTTTTTTTAGATTGTTTTTTTCCGTTTCTAAATTATTTGAAAATATATTGACTCACCACGCTTTTAATCGAAAATAATTATTCTGAGCCTGTAGAGCGAGAAAAAGGATGGTACAATTTTGGAAAATTTTTCATATGCTCATTTTTTGGGTACCTCATTTTGCTCCCCCGCTGCCTTGTTTTGCTCCTTTTACCTCCCGTCTGCTAATTGAACCATAAAATTTAAAAAAAAAACAGAAAATTTCATGTTAATCAAACTTTGACCTCGAATAACTCTAGAAGAAATCAATTTATCGAAAAATAATAAGAGACCTTTTTTGTAGAGCGTTACATTTTATATAAAAAACTGTAATGATCATTGCCATAAATACTTTGATACAGTGGTATAAAATTCCAAACATAAAATTATTTTTCCCATGTAAATTAAATGGGAAACTAAACTAAAAACAGCGACCTCTTAGAGTTGAGCTGGAACGCCCATATTTGGTGAGGATTTTTTTTATATTAAATAGAAACATTTGAGAGGGTAAGAGCGAAAAAAATTAAATTAATAAAATTAATTTTGAAAGACGATTAAAACATTGTTTTTTTAATACGATATTCATATTAACACTCATAAATCTATATATATATATATATATATATATATATATATATATACAGGGTGTTTCTTTTAACTTGAGACAGCTCAATATCTCGAGAAATACGCATTTTACGGAAAAATGTCTTAAATAAAAGGTTAATGTGACTAAAGGGGACATTATATGGTGCTACCGCTAGCCACCCCCTACCCCTCCTTAAGGGTGAAACGGGGGGTAACTTTGGAAAGTCAAATGGAATGACCCGATTTTTTTCACAGAGTTTGGTAGTACATAAAAAAATAAATAACTTTTATTTAAAACTTTTTTCAATTTATCAACAGATGGCGCCGTACTTCAAAATTTAAGAAAAATGAGTTTCCTTGTAAAATGTATTATTTGAAACGTTTGAAAAACAAAAATTAACATTAACAACAATAGTCGGCTATGAAAACAATTTATAACAAATGTTCGAAATGTCGTCATTCCATTTCAACACATTTTTGAATGCGGGTAATGAATTCTGGCACACAACGCGCCACCATATCGGGCGGTATCGCCGCACAGGCGTTCCTGATCCGCTCCACCATGTCCTCCCAAGTTGTAGGAATTGCAGCGTAAACTTTTTCTTTCAAGGAAGAAGTCTGGTGGCGTAAGAGCAGGTGATCGAGCAGGCCAAATTACTGGACCACGTTTACCGATCCACCGCGGTGCACCGGCCATTGAACTCCCGATCCAACACCTCTCGAGCAATTGTCGAATAATGTGCAGGACAACCATATTGCTGATACCACATGTTTTGGAGCCGTGCTAGTGGTACATCCTCCAAAAGGTCCGTCAGGTCGTTTTCTAGAAAATTCCGGTACTTTTCGCCATTTAATGCACCGTCAATAAAGAAGGGTCCGATTAATCGTTCGCTTAAGGTACCGCACCAAACGTTTACCGACCAGGGACGCTGGTGCTTGGTGTCGAAATAGAAGGACGACATTTCGAACATTTATTATACATTGTTTTCAGAGCCGACTATTGTTGATTTAATGTTAATTTTTGTTTTTCAAACGTTTCAAATAATACATTTTACAAGGAAACCCCTTTTTCTTAAATTTTGAATTACAGCGCCATCTGTTGATAAATTGAAAAAAACTTTCAAATAAAAGTTATTCATTTTTTTATATACAACCAAACTCTGTGAAAAAAATCGGGTCATTCCATTTGACTTGCCAAAGTTACCCCCCGTTTCACCCTTAAGGAGGGGTAGGGGGTGGCTAGCGGTAGCACCAAATAATGTCCCCTTTGGTCACATTAACCTTTTATTTAAGACATTTTTCCGTGAAATGCGTATTTCTCGAGATATTGAGCTGTCTCAAGTTAAAAGAAACACCCTGTATATAAGGGTGGCAAAAAAAAAAGAATATTTTTTTTTCTCGTCTCTTGTAAAAATATGTTAGTTTATCATGCTGTAAGAGACTCGTCAAAATATCAGCTCAATTTAGGGGTCGCTCAAGATTTTTAAAAAATTTAAAAATCGTCAAAAATTGAATTTTTGTTTTATATTAATTTTTATTCTCGTCTCGATATTATTTTTTTGGTTGAAAATAATAAAAAATCTGTAAATTTCAAATAAATATTTTGATTTCTAAAGGTCCCTAAATGTTCGTTGATATTTATATACAGATGTCGCTCGAAAACATTCAAACTACTCTACTTTGAAAATTAAAAAAATCTTATATATATACATTAGGGTGGCCCAAAAAAAAATATATTTTTTTTCTTCCCGTCTCTTGTGAAAATATGTTGGTTTGTCATGTTTTAAGAGCCCTTTCAAAATATCAGCTCGATTAAAATTTTTGTAGGGGTCGCTCAAGATTTTTAAAAAATTTCAAAATCGTCAAAAATTGAATAAAAAATAAAAAAATATCGATTTGAAATTTTCAGAATCATTATTATTTTTAAATTAAAAAATAATATCGGAACGAGAAAAAAAATTAAAATAAAATTTTTTTTGACGATTTTGGTAATTTTTAAAAATCTTGAGCGACCCCTAAAAAATTTTCAATGGTGCTGATCTTTTGCACAGGGCTCTTAAAACATGACAAACCAACATATTTTCACAAGAGACGAGAAGAAAAAAAATAATATTTATTAATTATTAATAATATACATATATGTATGTATATGCATTGCGCTCAGTACCTATGACGAACTTATCCCGCGGCGTGCTGTGACGATAAAAATATTGTTCTGCTAAGATGCGTGTATTCAAAAAACGCTCTTCTATAACGCTATAAAGTTTAATACCCATCACAACTAAATACCTTACTGAGTTTCACAGTAAATGGACAAATAAAGTATAACTCACACTGTACAAATTACTTTCGACCTTGTAACTTAAAATACTATAATTAAGGAGGAACCGTGAAAAAGTCTCTAAATCCATTTTTAAGAATTCCTAATCGTTAATATTTTCTACCGGAAGATCATTTCCAGATTTTATAAATATTATAATAATTATTGAACCAATTTTTTCAATAGGATTTTGCAATACCGGTATTTGTTTGGGTTTGACTTTACCAATGGATAAATCGCACCAAAATAGTGTAAAAACGATTACTAAACTACACTTAAAATGACCATTGGTAGATTTAGAGGTTTTGCACGATTTTGCCGTAATTGTTATAAATTATTTTACATAATATATTATATATTATATATTTATTTGGTCATAGCATTTGCAAACAACAAAGTTAAAAAACGCGTATAAAATTGAATAGATATATATAAATATTTCTTTCATAAAATATAAAATTATATTATACAGGGTGTTTCAAAACACATGCGCCAATGCTCTGCTGGAGATTTGTCATCCAAAAATATTTAAAAGAAACCAGTGGCGGCTGGTGGATTTGGGGCACACCCATATCTCAGTTATTAGATATGGGACCCACATCAAATTTACATTGACATTATACAGTGTGGAACTCACTTATGGAATAAAATTCGCTATTCGTTGAGAAAAGCTTTTTATGAAAAACGCTCGGACACGTAAACTTTAGTTTTTTATTTAAAATCTTATAATAATAATTTTAAATTTGATGCCCCCACCATTTCCCCTCCCGCACATTAGGCACCCTTATCTTAAATAACAACCTTGCTTTTTTTCATCGAAAATTGATAGTGCACATTTTTTTGAGTATTACGATACGATACAATATAAGTAGGGTTTGGTAAACAGTCAATACAGGGTGGAAATATAATGACAAATTAAAAAACTAAACCTTTTATTTTAAAATTAATTAAAAATTCAAAAATAAACTGTTCTTCAATCTTATAAATGTTCAAAATGTCCCCCGTCCAGTTCCTCACACTTTAGTAATCTACTGTGAAATTGTTCCCGCACTCTGTTTAAAATCTCCGGTGTTATGTTCCTATAGGATATACCTAATTATAATTTCCCCAGTAATTCTGTTTCTTAATTTATCTAAATTAGCAGGTTGTGTTTTAAACACCCTGTTTTTTAGATATCCCCATAGAAAAGTCTAAAAGTGTTGGATCCGGTAATCTTGCTGGCCATTCTATAAAACCTCTTCTTCCGATCCACCTGTGTCGAAAGGTGTCATTTAAATAATTCCGTACAGGAAGAGCATAGTGGGGTGGGGCACCGTCTTGTTGAAGCCATAACCTTTCATTGGGAAGATTAGGTTCCAATGGATTTGGAAACAACTCTGCTAAAGTTGGGACAACTTGTTCTCTTAGCATATCCAGATATCTTGCCCCCTTAAGATTTTAAATGAAAATAGGTCCCATCACATGATCACCAACAATACCAGCCCAAACGTTGATTTTCTGAGGACGTTGGGTATGACTTTTTCGCATCCAGTGTGGATTTTCTTCTGCCCAGTACCTGCAATTTTGTCTATTTACCTCGCCATTTAATAGAAATTTTGATTCATCAAAAAAAAGAATATCTGCAGAAGAAATAACATTCCTGTTTAACATATGCAGCATTTGCTCGCAAAATTGTACGTGTTGTAGTTTATATGGATGCATTTTTTCGGCTTTTACGGTCGAATAACTAACGTCGTTTTCACGTGCAACCTGACGCCCAGAAGTTGTTGGATCTTCTTAAAAGGCTAAGAAAATATTAACTTTCACATTTTCATCAATAAAATGAGGCGTCCTGCGTAATGGTTTAACGTGTCCATATTCAAGAAATTGTGCATGTATTTCAGACACAGTTGTCTGAGAAAGTGGTGGTAAATCTGGGTATTTTCCATTAAAATGGTTTGCAACTTGCTGTTGTGATCTGCACATATCACCGTAACCAATCATCATTAATATTTCTATTCGCAGAGTTTCTGTCAAGTGTCCCCTTTTTTAACTAAAATATTAACTGATACTTGGATCTAACAAAATACTTCAATAAGTAAAGCGCAAAATGTTTCATTAATAATAAAAACAATAACAAAGCGAAAAAAACATGAATATCTAAATAGCGAAAGCCACAACACAAGAAACTAAATCATAGGATAACAATAAAAAAATCATACTTGTAATTTTTAAATATTCACCCTGTATTGAAAATTATGGTTACTAAACCCTACTTATGTGGTATCGTCGTATTCAAAAAAATGTGCACCATCAATTTTCGATGAAAAAAAGTGGGGTTGTTATTTAAGATAAGGGTGCCCCTAATGTGCGGGGGGGAAAATGGTGGGGGCATCAAATTTAAAATTATCATTATAAGATTTGGAATAAAAAATTAAAGTTTACGTGTCCGAGCGTTTTTCATAAAAATCTTTTCTCAACGAATAACGAATTTTATTTCATAAGTGAGTTCCACACTGTATAGACAAGTTCTGCGCAAGCGGAATTTAAATTTAAATTTGCGAAAAAAAGTTAGTTCTTAAGTGTGCCCCCCAGCCTCCTGCCCCCCAAATTAAGATAATTTAAATTAAGGTGGTACAATATTTAATTCACTGAAGTTTATAGACAAATTTCAAATTTTATTAAAAAGAATTACAGGTTTTAAACCATTTTAAATTTTTATTATTTCTTTTACAAAATTTAAAAAAATAGAAATGGTTATGCTTGAATTTTTTTAATAAAACTTGAAATTTGTCGATAAATTAAATATTGTACCACTTAAATTTGAATTATATTAATTTGGGGGGACAGGAGGCTAGGGGGCACACTTAAAAACTAACTTTTTTTCGCAAACTTCAATTTGAATTCTGCTTGCACAGAACTTGTCTATATAATGTCATTATAAACTCATATAAATTTGATGTGGGTCCCAAAATCTACCAGCTGCCACTGAAAGAAAAGGCTTTTTAAAAATATCTTAAATATAGTTTGCTTAATTTTATTAAAATTTGGCCACGTTATTTATACGACTAATAAGGAGCTAATTTTAACTATATTAAAATTAACTATATTAAAATTATGTCCAGTGGCCTCACTGGAGGCACCTTAACGACAAATAATGTACGAAACTGACTATTTGCAATGATTAAGCCACTAAAAATACAACTTTTTTGTCTTCTGAGTTGTTTTCGTATTTTACCTGAAAAAATAAAAACCTCAGTATTCCATGAAAATTGACAAAAGGCGTATTTTGCATCTTTTTTCAGTTAAACAAAATCTACATCTTATTATTTTTTGATAATTCAAGCCCTTTAGGAGAAAATTTATAAACATAAATAACGTTGCCAAATTTTAAGAATATCAGAAAAACAATATTTAGGATATTTTAGAAGTCCTATTTTTAAAACAGATACGATCTTAAAAACTAAGCATTTCTGGGCCCACGTTTATATTAACTTTTTTTTTCTTATTTTTAGATGACGAATCTTCAGACGAGCATTAGCGCATGTTTTTTTAAACACCCTGTATAACAAATCTGATAATATTCGTGAATTCGCGGTAAAAAATAATGCTTTTAAGAGAATGAAAGGTTGCTAAAAAATGCGTCCGCCTCTTGAATTCATAGTGAACGAACATTAAGGATTTCCCATCATTAAGGGTATCTTAAATTCTTTATATTTCGGTCTTTAAATTTGTTTTGATTAGGTAGATATTATTTTTATATAGTTTAATATAAAACGATAACTGTGCCACAGAGTCTCTGTCTATAGACATATATGAACTCACAAATTCACGGTACATTCATTTTTGAAGATTCACGGCTTGCGCCAGTGGTGAATTAAACGTGCATTTACGAATGTTATTTATATCTGGAAAGCCATTGATTAAAATTATGATCTAAATAATTTTTTGACAAATTTATATAATTACAGTTCTGCATTTAGTCGCTGTAATTTTTACAAGATTGCCAGTGTTTTTACCCAATTATTAGGTGGTTTTTTATCGTCCTTGTTCTCTCCGTCTCTCCAAATATAATAATCTAAGTACTTGGGAGTACCATTGACAGATGCTTTAAACCACTCATGTTCTTCACTGGTATGATTTGGAACAAAATCCAGGATAATTTTGATTCCCAGTTTATTTGCTTCTTTAATAAGTTCAGTTAAATCATTATTATTTCCAAAAAGTGGGTCTACGACTCTATAGTCACTTATGTCGTATCCTTGATCGACCTGAGGTGACTTAAAAATTGGCGACAACCATGTTGCAGTTATTCCCAATTCCTTTAAATACGGCAATTTTGATATAACACCTATAAAAATAAAATAGTATAAGTATATAATAATAATAATAATAAAACGACTTTATTTGACATATGGCCTTATAAGGGATTAAACACAGTGATTGCAACGAGTGTGAAGTGTGAAGGTTATATTACATCACAAGGTATTTTGTCTCAACAACTACTTTTTTAATTTAATTTAATATCCCTTCCCACTTATTTATTTAATTGGCTTTAATCATATGATTATACAGCCACCGTGTATGTGTTTAGTTTGGGTACAAATTTGATTTAGGTATCGTTTTGATTATAAATTTAAAATATCTTAAGCAAAAGAAAATATTATTAGATACTCAAACGGCAAAATTGACTTTAGATTCGAATTCAGTGCAGTGTTCCAGATTCTGTCAAAATTGCCCAATTTGGTTTAAATTTACCTTAATTACAAAAAAACACTATCAACAATATTTAAATAACGCCAAACTGGCAATTTGCATTGTATCATTGTGTCATTTTTGTAATTATATCAAATTTAGTTGTCGGACCAATATTGCTTGTCTTGGCGTAGCCTACGCCTCCTTAATTTTTTACTAACACCCTATATAGTTAATAATAAATATTAAAGTTTTTTTTATAAATATATAAAATATTGTAAATTCTTACAAAAAAGCAATAAAGTAAAATATGAAAAAACTGTTGCCCTGTTCAAAACTTACACGCACTGGTCATGAATGGGACAATTATTTAAGTAAGTTACAACTAGAAGAAGTGCATTGTATTATCTAAAAATACTAAAATATGTTCATTCATTTAATAATCTTTAATAAACCTTGTGCAATTTTTTTTGTAATGGTTTTAAAAAGCCTGCAGAACGTATACCACAAAAACTTTTTTTTTCTGAAGTCACATTAAAATACCAATTAACAATAAAGTAAGGCCTGAAACAAAAAATGGATGCTAGGATTTATTTTTGATACGCTTCCTGCCCACTATCACCATAAACACAAACTACATATCAATGCAACGTTGGAATAAAGCCAATTGTCCCATTTAAAACCTGTCCCATTCCTGGCACCCCTCCCCTACAGGGTGTCCCAAAATCACCGGACCAAACGAAAGGGGCCGATTCCTTGCGAAAATATGCATTTTTATATAATAGGTATATACTTTTAAGAACATTTTCTCAATATTTCATTAAGATCGGAGCACTAGAACTAAAGCTACCACAATTTATAGCTCTAACATTTGAGGCAAGATTCGGCGCGCAACGTTCCCCTTTTCGCCTTGCTCCACAGATATTTCGTATGTTTGCCTGAAAGAATTATGAAAAACAAGTAGGTATTTTTAGCTCCAACATTAATTAATTTTCCTTGAGGTAAAACACTAAATATAAAAGAGGTATTAAGAGAAGAGTAAATATAATTTTTGATCTTTTGATATTTTGTTCTCTTGGAAATACGAAATCAAAGCAATAACACTTGAAACAAATAAAGTCCCTGGACGAATTAGTTGAAAGATGCACAGGATTTACTCACGTAAACGTTAAAAAAAGGCGTCTCTGGGCAAGTGCCGTAATTTCCACAATTTTCTAAATTTTTGCTTGATTTTTTTAAACAAACCAAAAAATTAACTATTCGTTTCAATAAAATTATTTTTACCAACCTAAAAAACATTAATTTTTCCTTATATTAAAAATGCTTATTTATACTGTCTTATTACTTTTACGAATCGACGAGTTTTTTTCCCGATTAAAATCTGAGATCTTGAAAGTGATATTTACATAGGATCCATATATTAAAACGTTGCAACATAAACTTCGTAACACTAATTATGCGAAATAGAATTTACTGTTTTTTGTTGTTATGAAAAAATAACTTAATAACATATTATTTACTACACTTTAATATTATTATTATTTTGTAATTATTGCAACTCTATAACTAATAAATAACCAAGGTGAACAAATTATGTATTAAAATGTGGATAATTTTATATAGAAAGGAAGTAATTTTATTTTTTTAACAGGAAATTCAATTTTTAATAGCCCTGTAAATAGTACGTGCATTTTAATTTGTTGACAAATACTTTTAATACCTTTGTTTTCTGTATACCGTAGACATTTTAATCTACAAGAAAATAGTATAAAAACCATTTAAGATTTTAAAAAATAAAATAGTAGGTTTTATTCAAATTATAATAATTATAAAAGTTTACCTGTTTTTTAAAATTACATAAGCAAAAGTCCCAAAAACTTTTAATAATATGCACGGCTAATAAAAATAGTAATAATGATTAAATTTTTAATACTAAACAGTAAAACCATAACAATATGTTTGCCTGTGAACTAAATAAAAATAATAAAAATTGTAGTACCTTTAAGATCTCCTACCCCATCATTGCTGTCATCTTTAAAAGATCTTGGATAAATTTGGTAGAAAACTGCCGTTTTCCACCAATCACTATTCGCGCAATTGCCTATAGCAAAAATCGCCACCAAGAGGAGTATCACAGAATTCATTTTAAGGATATGCATTTCAAACTGGTCTCCATATTTATATGCTTATAGATTATATGCGCGATAAATGATATTTTTTTTAATAACTGATATAATTTTCGAGCACAGTTATTGTGTACAAGTAGGTAGTATTTGAGTACCCTATTTATTATACATTTATTAAATACGATAGAAAGAATTCATATACTCAGTGGACGTATGCAAACAAACCGAATATCAAACAAACAATTAGTTATTTGACATTTTTAAAAGAATATTTAAAAAAACTTAATTTTTTATATTAAAATTGACCAATAGTATATATTGCGACTAGTGGCAGAAAGAGGAGATTCCTCACAGAAAAAAATTTAGTCCATAATATCAATTAATTCAGTTTATTGAGTGGGACAACGATTTTTTTATTAATGTAAAGAAATGTCATGTACGGTATTTTATTAACTAATCACGTGGTTCATCATCATTATTATTGTAATAGTAATTAATTTTACATTAATAATTATTAATATTGTCTCAACGTAGGGGTTAAATTGTTTTAATGAATGTTTACTTTGGAACAATAATAAGGACATGAAAATTCTTGACAAGACGAGTTTGGAAACTAGCTCTGCTTAGTTTCCTTCATTTGAAAAATAGTGCGGGCATCAATTGCATTAAAGAGGATATTTCTTAGCACAATGTATTTCTTAGTGACTGGCTATATTTAAAAAAGGTAATTATAATTTAGTTTATAAATATAACTTTGATAAACTGATTTATTAGTATTAGGCTTTACAGGTTTAAAAAACACTTATAGCGTCTTGCCCTAAAGCGTAGGAAAACTAATTTAAATTTCGGATACTTAGAGTCGATATACGATGTAATGCTTTATTTGCAGATAAAATTAATTTACTAAAAAGATCTTAATGAGGATCTTACCACAAATTCAGTATTTAGATGTTTTGAAGATAATTACGGTCAAAGATTTTAAAATTTAAGTAGTTTTAAAAAACATATCAATAGAAAACATTTAAACAATAATTTTTTAAAAAATTATAATACCCAACTTAACAACGATCCAAACAACGTTCTAAATAGAGAGTTTGAAATTAATGCTTTAAATGCATTACATTAGGCAATCAAACACAAATTAATAATAATATAAATCCATCGTCATTTCACACCATACTGTATTTCTAATAAAAAATCAGATTATGACATATTTTTATTTAATATATTAAATGAACGTCCTAAAGGTTCTATGATTGTGGAGTATTACAATAAATTTTTAAAATTTCAAGATGAACAGCAAACCTCATAGATAAACTTGGTAGCGCAATTTTTTAAAGTTAAAGGTGTTCCAATTACATTAGCAATTATAGGCTGGAAAAAGAAATTATAGACAGATTTCTGTCTGAAAAATTGGTATGTTTATTGATCTTTACTCGTTACGCCTTAAAAATATTGTCACAAAATATTCTCTTTATATTTTAGAAGTACAATCGTTCCACCAAGAGAAGAAGAATATACAAGAAATTTTGCAATTTTTAGAAACTTCGTTTAAGTATGTTGTTGATGTCTGCCAAGACATGTCGAATTGCAAAACATTTGGTAAGCTAATTCAAATTACGTTTTATATTCCTAATTTTGATCAAATCAAAGTTCATTTTGTGGATATAAAATTTGAAGTTAAGTATTGTCTTTTAGAACCCGAAGATGATGCGGAAGCATGCTTAAGAGGTTTGATAATTTAACTGCTGAAAAATTCGATAACACTTGGAAGGCCTGCAGGAAATATCGTTTAAACAATTTCAAAAGTTTTGGGAATACTGATGCGATAATGGGGAATGGAATTTCTATAAAAATCCGATAGGCTATCAATTGGTAGGTATATATGCGTTATAATTTAATTTTTTAACATTATTATTATTTTATAGTTACAGATCGATATGGATTTTAATGTTGTCTTCGATAATGCGGATGGGCTATTAATTGTTTGGAGCAAGAACATCAACAAATAACTTAAATTTTTAAGTAATGAAAATAATGCTAAAGACAAGAATATTAAAGCTTTTTTGGAAAACCCAAAGGCAAATAATAGTATTTCTAAAAGTAAGTAGGCATATATATTAGGCTCAAAGACCGAGGAGCATAAAAACTAAAAATAATATCATTTAATTAAAAACTTTTTATTTTATTTGCATGGGTATTTTGTACCTACTAATAAAACCGTAAAAAAAGATGCAGGTGGTGGGCAAAATAAACCACCAAATTCACAATTTAAGATTCCTAGAAATCTTTTCTATTTGTGGAAAAATGTTTACAAGAAGTCGAGGACCACATTACCTATTTAAATTTAATTAAAATATACAACCATTTATTTATTGCATAGGTAATCAACTTAAGAAATTTATATTTTTTTGAAAATATTAGAATTAAGTTTTTTAGTTTTTTAAGGCGATGAATTTTTGTTTTAGAAAATATTTTTTGTTTTTAATCTTGATTTTTTTTCCTACTAGAAAAGTACTTAAATTCAGCGAAGTGATAAAGCGAAAAAAAGTGTTTTTAATTTTCAACAGCTTTACTCAGAAATAGGTTTAAGTTAAATTATATTTGTATTATGTTTAAAAAAATTAAAATAAAACAATAAATATAATGTTTATTATTTTTCCTGTGTTATCAAAAGTCATTTAAAAAATTAATAGTATTTGCAAGTCCATGAAATTCATTATTAACATTGGCAAGTTAAGTTAATTTACAGCAAAGCGCACATGCGGGAAATGACAGAAAAAAATTTGTTTAATAGTACATAATAGGTTAACCTATTATGTACTAGCGTGATCATATGGTCACATAAAAAGTGGGTAAAAATCAGGTTATATAGAGTCCATAATTATGAAAATATTGCTTAAGTGATGTTTTCAGATCGATTAGTAGAGTATTGCCAACCTCTATTGTGAAACATTTTAGTGTTTGGTTGTCAGCTGTCTTCTGTACACGTAGTTTTTTAGGTGGCTTGTTTATAAAGTGCCAGTTATGAGTAATCACAAACCGTAAGTATAGTTGTTTTGACACTTTAAGTTTTATAATCAAAGTAAATCTTAGCAAATATAATTGTTTATATATAGTCAATTGATTAACAAAGTTAGCTACATAAAATATATATTTCCACGTTAACCAGAGCCGGCTTTAGGCCACTGTAACCATATGGAAACACAAGTCTCTTATACTCTGTATGTTTAAATGCATTTATATTTTCTAAAATTTGAATAGCGCAAGTAATGTTTAGTAAGAAAATTATAATTAATTGCAGGTTAACTTTGACTGAACTAGCTGACATATTAGAATGTGAAGAATTTTGAAAAGATGAAGAAATTACCGATATTTATATCGAACCACCACCAACCAACGTCCAGTCAGATGAAGATTCCGCGGATGAGGACAATGGGGGACTTCTGGACAATCTTTCAGGACGGCAACTTCAATCTGGTGCTGAGGCGGTGTTTGCTAGTGGCAAAAGACTTGGTGAAGAAAAATATGACAAAGAAGATGATCTTCCTCTCAACCGTTTTGAAAACAAGCCAATACAGTGGGAATGGGTGAAAACTGGCGATCTACACGTCCTTGGTAACAATTTTCCCGAATGCGACAAATCTAAATACCGAAATATGTCTCATGTAGATTTTTTTGAACTTTTCATGGATCAAATCATCATTGATTTTTTGGTTGAAGAATCCACCAAGTATGCACACTTTTTAAATTGTAGTGACCCAATGGTGACAGCAAATGAAATGAAATGTTTCATTGCAATACTCATATTATCTGGGTATAATAGTCTCCCTGGAAAAAAATTATTTTGGGATAATGGCGAAGATGTCCGCAATTCTATGGTACACAAATCCATGCGCCGAGATCGCTTCATTCAAATTATGAGATTTTTGCACCTTTGCGATAATACAAAATTAAACATGGCCGATAAGATGACCAAAGTAAGACCTTTTATGGATCTGTTGAAGGAACGCTTTATTGGTCACTATATCCCTGAACAAGAACTGTGCTATGATGAGAGCATGATAGAATACTATGGGCGCCACGGATGTAAGCAGTTCATTCGTGGAAAGCCCATAAGGTTTGGATATAAAGTGTGGAGCCTAAATTTAAAAAATGGTTACCTTGTCAATTTTGAATTGTATTAGGGAACTATTCCTCATTCCGATACGGATCACCAGAAAAAATTTGGAAAAGCTGCAGCGCCGCTCCTACAACTAATAAAGGATCTTCCCAAAGAAATACAAATTTTGCCACTAAATTTCTATTTTGATAATTTGTTCACGTCGCCTAAATTGTTGATTTATCTTAACAAATTGGGTTACAAAGCAACTGGTACGATACGAGAGAATCGTGTGCCAAAAGATTGTCCAATTATACCTGTAAAAACGATGCAAAAGAAAACACGTGGAGAATATGACTATGCCTTAGACAAAAATCAGTCAGTCTTCATAGTTCGGTGGATGGACAACTCTGTCGTTACAGCTGCGTCTACAGTTCATGGACTGAATCCAGTAACTACGGCTAGTAGATATTCCATGGTGCAAAAGAAGAGAGTTGGTATTCCACGTCCCAATATTTTTGCACAATATAATCAATTTATGGGGGGAACTGATCAAATGGACGCTAACATAGGGACATATAGAATCGGCATACGAGGAAAGAAGTGGTATTGGCCCATTTTTACGTACTTGATAGATGTTTGTGTTCAAAACGCGTGGGTACTGATGAAATCAACAACCGGAAACAATATCTCCCAATTAAATTTCCGTCGAGAAATTGTTCAAACCTACCTGAGAAGATAGTTATAGTTATATAATTCTGTATTTTGAAAACCACTTACTTTTTTAAAAAATCCAAAAACAGGTGAATTTATAAATTTACCTGGGTAAATTGTGGTAAATCTTAAGAAACCACCATTTGAGGGTGCAACCAACCCTAACTTTTTTTTTTCAAAGGCAAAGGTATATCAAGTGATACATCATTTGAAAGCT